AAGCGTAGACGTCTCAATGGAGGGAGATATGCCCCCAAGACAATATCATCAGCAAAGTTACATCCAATGAATGTTGATTGTATTGGGGGACTTTCGACATATTAAGAGAATCAAACGGGTGAGAGGATCGCGCCCTACAAAACACCATAGTCAGCCCGGAGCATAGAGGAGGGAAGTTTCGTGCCCGTTTTTCATTAGGATTTTGTTGAAGTCTCTCGCTTCTTTATCTGGCCCGTTTGGGGTATGAATTTTCCTTGATATATCAGACACAGTCCATATCAACTCCTGTTTGTAGTGTTTGGAGATAAAACTATGCAAGTTTAAATACTGACATTCCACATAGGCCTACGATTCACCGACCTGCCTATTGATCCATAAGTTCTGTGTTCTATCGGTATGTCAAATACTTGCATAGTACCATTCTGACTCGCCTTGTTATCACTCTGATGTTTTGGTGTAAGTTATTTAATCTGATGCGCAGTTTAGTTAGTTGATTTTCATGATGAAGGGTTTGGACCGGCGCGATTGAGCACAAGAGTCAGCACAATAAATGGAACCTTAGAGTTGCATTTAAAGCGGAAAATGTTCTAAGCCACAATTTTGTAGAAAATGCATACCCAGGCCTCCCACAATGTATATTGTTTGTCGTTTACAAATACACAAGGCGAATTCCATGACTAAAAATCAATTTCTAACTAGAAATGATCGATCAAAATAGAAATTTTTGAATCTTCGCATTGAGAAGTTATCCCAAGCGGAATGCTGGTGATGTCATCAATTGCGGTTCTATCACTGGCATTTCGATGGACATCCGACTTCATGGCCAATGGTACTTCACTCCAACTGGGCGAGTGTCTTCGACTGGCGCTAGCGGAATAAACAGACTCATCGTCAGCGGATGTTGAGTTGGCCGATGCATGAAGGAGTGTAATTTTCCAGTCGTCTTTCACTTCATCAGGTTCACTGTCAGCATGATATTTAGGAAGCGTGAGCTGGACAGGAGTTTGGAAGCGAAGTCCGTGTGGACCACACATCACAACTGGGCTGATGAGACGTGGTGTCATGTTAGTACTGTTCGAAGGAATGTCCAAACTCCCATCATAGATCTAAAACAAAATGCTGATTGGTAAGTCGCATTCGAATAGGAATTTGTCCATAAATTTCCCTACGCGGTCAAGAATTATTTTTATTTGACACCAATAAGTGGTAAAGTCAATGAAATTCGGCACCGGTTACGTTACCGATAAAACACTATCGGCAGGACAAAATCCCGTAGTATTTGCTTCATGCTTATGGGTCACAACCACGGTCTGCATTCTTCTTTCTACGGCGGGAATTGGTGTTTAACCATTAGTTGCTAGACCAAAGTTATGGTTTGCGTTGGTTTACGACTCATTGCATTGAGGAACCCGAATGAGCCACCAGTTTCGCATGGTGCGGATCACCATTCACTACTTCATCGAAATTGGTAATGCGAAGGACAAAAATCATTAGGATGGCGTGGTGCTTGAAGTCGTGGGCCAAACGGCCGACGCTGTTCCCTTCGGTGCTGTTAGGTGCCTGGTAGCTTAGCGTTGCCTGTTCTACAGGACACTGGCTGGTGTGTGCGACGTCGGATAGTGGTGGCGATGTTCGTCTTGCGAAAGTGGGGTCCCGACTCTTGTTTCCATTGCGCACCGGGTTGAGGAAGCGCGCACTGGCGGTCAGCTCAAAAGGCATAGATGGCTAGCGGATGGATTTCCGGTGTATAATGGCCAGATGATCCTAACTCCAACCAAATCTGTTAGGGTTAGCTGGATTACCATTCGTAGCTTTACGATATCAAAAGAATGACTTTAAGTTACAACATGATTGCGCTCGAAGAAAAGTGGTGACCACAGGTGGTTTCAGTATAGAATCAAAGTGTCTTGAGTTAAACATAACAAACACACGCCTGCTTTACTATCATTGATACTTACAAAGAGTTTACATAGCTTTTTCTCTCAATTATCCAAAAAACGAACACGTTAGCCAGAATCCAGGTGCTGATGTTGATCGTAATGTACAGCTATTACTGCATCGCTCCCGTGTTCAGCGGACTTTCAGACACGAAATAACGAGGAACGATAGGTTGGGATCGCATTAGAGGAGTGATTCAAACTTATCACTCAATGCTTTCACCTTTGCAATATTTTTGCAGTGAATAAGATAATTGGTGCGTAGGGTAAAACACTCAAAATGACACATAGAGTGACCTAGATGTTCGGTGCCGAGTGGGAACCCATTCAGCATGGACAATTGCAAAGTAATTGCGGAATTTACCAACACACTTTCATCTGTGAGCTTTGGTGACAAAATCGTCAGACACAAACTAACTTATTGACCATGACGTCCTAGTACACAACGGCTCCCGTCGTTTAATACATACTGAGGAGGCATCAGGACGATGCAAGCACTAAGTGAATCATTTGCATGAGATATAGGGCTTCTTCCATCCAAAAATTTCTCTTCACGCAATGGCAATGTGTCCATTACCAACCAGATTCCGCCATCAAATCTGCATCGTTTTTTTGAGAAGCTTAATGCGCCTGTGATGGAGATACATCAATGTAGAGTAACTTTCTGCAGAACCCCTTCATCCACTGCCTCAGTGTTCTCTGAAGATAACCACGTGCTTGAGACATTTTACAGAGAGCTGCAGCATCTCTAACGTGAACCAAATAATGTTGAGCAAACGCATGGTACCCACTTAATTTGGCGGCAACACATATCGTAGATTTCACCAACGGAAACAGCACAACGTTGCAACCGTTCGAATTGTCATCAAAACCACTTCCTCCATCCATCAGTCACTGACGGATTACCAGTTTGAATCTACCAGCTTCAGCTACTTCATTGCACATCTTCCAAATTAGATGAATATCGAATTCACTCACCTTCACTTAGACAACGATGCTTTGAACCGTTACAGCATGATGCATCTGCACAGTCATCATCATTATACACATTAGCTAGAGGTGTAAAACACCTCGGTTACTGTGCCGCAATACATAAAAAGATAAATACAACAGTTGCATGCCAGCTGAGCTACCAGCAACGGATAGGCATCGTTCCGGAAAGCTACCAGCCGGCTACTAGGCAACAAAAGGTATTATGTAAAATTATATTATAGTGCGAAATGAAATCGTGGTTGGAGGAGAAGGCTAAGAAGGATGCGGTGGAACAATGCAACTCACAGCACGAACGCCACTGAGGTCGGCTCCTGGCAATCCCACCAAGTGTATCTATTCAAACGTGTTCGTCGTCTTTCGGACACCAAGCAAGGAGCCGAGAAGCCCCAACAGAGGGCACCTTCGAAGTGAGGGCCAAGTCATCGCTTTGCCACCTCTCCTCTTCTTCCATCCACACCCCCCAGCGCTCAAACAACGCACGTCGCAGGAGTCGGTGGGCTGGCATGCCTAACACGTGGCCGAACTATTGGTGCCTAGTGCGTGAAATGACGGTGTTGAAGGGTTCAGTTCCTTGTCCCCTGCAGTAAACAAGGCATCGAACACGCTGGTTGATCACGCGGTGTTCACACCAGATGTGAACCAAACTGCGAAGGAACCGGTGATCAAACCTAACTAACCTCTTTATGTCGGTTGATCTAAAGTGCGAGGATTCGCAGCCGTACATTAAGGGCGAACCAACCGCTGCATTGTACACTCTACCCTTCAGGGCAAGAGTGATGTCGCGCCGGCGCCATAAGTGGCGAAGGCTAGCACAAGCACCTAGAACTTTTGCTACAGGGTTCGTGATCTCATTTTAGATAGTAGTTAAAATCTGAACGATCCCCAACAGGGGTCGGCGCAGGAGGTGATCCCTGCTAATCTTCGAGAAAAGCTTTGCACTTCGATGGTGGAAAACAAAGCCCGAAGCGGCTGACAGCTAGTGCCAATCTGTGCAATGCAGCTTGGCACGTCTGGGAACCGTCACAGAAGAGAGCAATATCGTCTGCATACTGCAAGTCAAGAAGTCGTTTACCAGAAGTAGCTACACACCTTCTAAGTCGTGTCTTGTGAATGCAACCTCCATGCAGTCGTCAAGAGCGCATATGAAGAGGAAGGGTGACAGCGGACATTCTTGTCTCACACCGCTGGAGATATTGCAGGGCGGCGACAGCTTGCCGTAAGCCCTCACTCTGCCCGTGCTACGCGCATATAATGCTTGGATAATATTTACATATTTCTCGGGCACACCTTTCCTGAGTAGACAATTCCAAAGGGCACATCGATCAACCGAATCGAAGGCACCTTTGATATCGAGGAACACGACTACGGTGGGCCGCCAATATGTGTGACGGTGCTCCAACAACTGACGCAAGGTGAAGATGTGGTCGATGCAGCCACGACCCGACGAAACCCGGCTTGCTCCTCACGAATCTGGCTTTCACGAGCGCCAGTCAGTCTGTGAAGAATTATGGAGGCGAGTAATTTGGAGGCGATGGAGATCAGACTGATTCCTCTATGGTTGCCGCATTCCGAGCGCGAGCCGCCTTTGAAGATGGGAACAATAACGGAGCGGCTCCAGTCGGTTGGGACAGTTTCCTGCTCCCACAGTTTCACTAGTAATTCATGTAAAGCATCAACAAGAGCAGAGCCTCCGAATTTGAAGAGGGCTGGAGGAAGATCATCTGGTCCCGCGGCTTTGTTCAACTTCAACAGTCCGATCTCACGTTCGACTTCTGAGCGAGAGGGTGGATCCAAAGGGACAGCCCACGGAGCAGGGCGATCAGTGACCGGCGAGAATCGAACAATTCTAGCCGATTAAATTGCTTTTCAAAATGCTCAGCCCAACGCTCCAAACGTTTTGACAAATTGTGGATAGGCTGTCCACTCTCGTCACAAATTGTTTCACTAACACCAGGTCTCCTGCTGCCCGTTTCCCGTATCAGACGGAATAACTTACGATGGTTGCCAAGGGCAGCGGCCACTTCCATCTCTGACGCACGATGAGACCACCAAGATTCGCGGTCTCTCTTCAGGCTAGCACGGAGTTTTGCCCGGAGCTCTTTGCGAGTTTCATTGTGTTCGCTTCCAGCCGGGATATGCCGGCGAGCATCGATAAGTTCCAGAGACTGCGAAGAGACCCAATGTCCATGTTGGCTATTAGACATACCACATGAGGATTTGCCTGCTGCTAGTAAGGTCTGGTGAACATGTGACCAGTGACCATCAATTGTCTCCAGTGAGCGCTTACTCAACTCGCATGTCAGCGTACTTCGATACGCATTCAGAACAGCTGGCTTTGTCAGTTGGCTGGTGTCAATGCGCTCACAGCGTCGTCGTGGGCGTCCGCCAAAACGCATCCGCATGTCAGCACATACAAGTGCATGATCGGTGTCCACACATGTGCTCCAAATCGAGCGACAGTTCTGGATGCAGCCTCTCCAGCGGTAACTGATAGCAATGTGATCGATCTGCGTCCAAGGCTGGTTCGAGGCTGGTGGGCGCCAAGTCACCCTCCGGCGGGTGCTGTGTCGGAAATTAGTGCTCGCAAGAAATAAGCGAGCATCTTCACACAAATGAAGTAACCGCTCACCGTTATCATTACGGGAGCCTACACCGTGTTGACCGCCCAGATGCAGTTCATCAGTGGACAACTTTCCAACTTGTGCGTTCAGATCCCCCGCCAGCACAACAGTGTCCGTGCTTCTTCTGTGGCGAAGGAGCTGGGTCAGTTGGCGGTAGAAGTCGTTCTTTACCGAATCATCGCTACAGTTTGTGGGCGCGTAGGCAGCGATGATGAATAGACACCTATTAGTCCCGCGCGACTTCGAAGCTTTGAACGAGCCAGCCAATCGGACCGCACACATCCGGCTACTGATTGGAATCCAATCAACCAGAGCAGCTTCAGCCCGGGGACTCAGGGCAATACCAACACCAGCTTGGCCGGTGCTCGAAGCTGCATCGTCACCGGATAGGCGCAATGAGAAAATACTGCTTGCGTCACCTGAAGGGGATCGCAGAGTGAGCACAGAGCTCGAGTCTTGCAGGCGGGTCTCTGATAAGCAGCAGATATCGATCGAGAGGGTCTCTAATGTTCGGGCAAGTGCTGCCTGTTGACCGATCTGTAGCAGTGTGCGTAC